CTTTTATAGACCTCTATCATATCCCCCCTCCGTCTCCTCTTCTCTAAGCTGAAAAGTCCCAGTCTCTTTAGCCTCTCTTCATATGGGACCTGTTCCAAACCCCTGATCATTTTAGTTGCCCTCCCCTCTCCCAGCCTCTCTCTTCCCCTCTCCCACCTCCTTTTCCCAGTCTCCCCCAGTTTTGTTCAATAAAGAGAGATTCTATTTTTGAACACACATGTCCTTTAATTTGTTCATCAGGAAGGGGGGCTAGGAAGGGGTAAGTGGAAGGAGGTGAGGGAGGACTGGGGTATGAGCCCCCGATGAGGAGGACTGGGCTGGCTCTACAGACTGCTCAGGGTGGAAGTTCTCCTGCAGCCCCCCGATTGCCCCCTCCCCCCAGATGGCAGCCTGCGGCAAGTGCAGCCGGGCTGATGGCCAAGTGCTGTGATGTTCCAAGTGTGGGAACTCGGGACACTCCAAGCCAGGACTGCTTTTCAAGCGGGGAACTCTGAGAATTGTCTGTCCGGGTTGGGGGTCGGGTCCCTTTAAGCACAGCCCTCAGCTAGCCTGAGACAGCAGCTCCACGCTCTAAGTCCTACTCTGATGCCCTGCTGGCACTGCTTCCGGCCATCCTTAACCTCGGTTCAGGGTCCACTCAATGTGGACATGCTAGTTTGAATTAGCAAAATGCTAATTTGAACTAGTTTTTAGGTCTAGATGCGCTAATTCGAATGATCTTAGTTCAAATTAACTAATTCAAACTAAGCTAGTTCGAATTAGCGCTGTAGTATAGACATACCCTATGTGAGCAGCTCCCCTATCCCCCAAAATCCCTCCCACTCCCCTTGTGAACAGGTAGGAAGGCAGCAGGAGAAGGAAGTTCCCGATGCGCACTTCCTCCCAGGACCCCCTACCAGCAGGAGAAGGAACTTGCCAGCACACCACAGACCTGGTTTCAGGAAACACACTGTCTGTTTGGGGGAGGGGGGATCTTCCGGCACACTTCCTGACCATGGGGATAGGCCATTGCTCAGTGAAGAGAGAGAAAGAATAACAGGAAAAAGAAATGGCAGAGGTGCTTAATGACTTCTTTGTTTCAGTTTTTACCCAAGTTGATGGTGATGGGATGCGTAACATAGTGAATGCTAATGGAAATGGGGTAGGGTTAGAAGTTAAAAAAACAAAAAAGAACAGGTTAAAAATTACTAAGAAAAGTTAGATGTCTTCAAGTCACCAGGGCCTGATAACATGCATCCTAGAATACTTAAGAATCTGATAGAGGAGGTATCTAAGCCTTTAGCAATCATATTTTAAAAGTCTTGGAAGTCAGAAGAGATACCAGATGACTGGAAAAGGGCAAAAATAGTGCCCATCTATAAAACGGGAAATAAGAACAACCTAGGAAACTACAGACCATTTAGTTTAACTTCTGCGCCAGGGGAGATAATGGAGCAAGTAATTAAGGAATTCATCTGCAAACATTTGGAAGATAATAAGCTGATAAGTAACAGTCAGCATGGATTTGTAATTTGTAAGGAACAAATCATGTCAAACCAATCTGATAGCTTTCTTTGATAGGCTATCAAGCCTTGTGGATAAGGGGGAAGTGGTGGACATTGTGTACTTAAATTTTGGTAAGGCATTTGATATGGTCTCACAAGACCTTCTGATCAATAAACTAGGGAAATATAGCCTAGGATAGGTGCATAACTAGCTGGATAACCATTCTCAGAGAGTAGTTATTAACAGTTCACAATTATGCCGGCAGGGTATAACAAGTGGTGTTCCACAGGGGTCTGTTTTTGGACTGGTTTTGTTCAATATCTTAATCAATGATTTAGACGATGACAGAGAGATGCTTATTAAGTTTGCAGATGATAGCAAGCTGGGAGCAGTTACAAGTGCTTTGGAGGAAGGGGTCATAATTTAAAATAATCTGGACAAACTATAGAAATGGTCTGAGGTAAAAAGAATGAAGTTTACTAAGGACAAATGCAAAGTATTCCACTTAAGAAGGAACAACCAGTTTTACACATACAGAATGGGAAGTGACTGTCTAGGAAGGAGTACTGCTGAAAGGGATTTAGAGGTCATAGTGGGCCAGAGGCTAAACATGAGTGGGACACTGTTGCAAAAAAAGCAAATATGATTCTGGGATGCATTAACAGGAGCAAGACATGAGAAATCATTCTTCCACTCTACTCTGCACTGAATAGCCAATTGGAGTATTGTGTCTAAGTCAGGGCACCACATTTCAAGAAAGAGGTAGAGAAATTGGAGAAGATCTAGAGAAGAGCAACAAAACTGATTAAAGGTCTAGAAAATATGACCTGTGAAGGAAGACTGAAAGAATTGGGTTTGTTTAGTTTAGAAAAGAGAAGACCAAGAGGAGATATGATAGCAATTCTGAAATATCTAAAAGATTGTTTCCAGTAGGAGGAAGAAAAATTGTTCTACTTGGCCTCTAATGATAGGCCAAGAAGCAATGG